ATATATATATATATATATATATATATATATATATATATATATAGAGAGAGAGAGAGAGAGAGAGAGAGAGAGAGAGAGAGAGGTGGTACCTTGAGGCTGGATATTGACTCCAGCCATTCAGCAACTGCGAAGAGAAGCACAATGAAGCCTGCTTCTGTGTAGTCCTCAAGTGCAACCGCTCCACCCACTGCCAAACAACAAATGACAAAAGCATCAGCAATGGAACTCCAATTCTACCAACAACATGCATCACCAACACCAAACTGCACAAAACAATCAAGTTCACAGTGCATCCATCAGCTCTGCTTGTTCCAAATCTCCATCACAGTAACCAGAGATTCACATTGCCAAACTCATACCAAGCTTATACATACCTCATCCAGACATGAGGGAAGAAGAAAATAATTCTTCATCAATGACACATCTCTACATATTGCTTATATGAAGCTTTTCAGGAGTTTGCTGCTCTACCTGCAACCAGCAGCAAAATGTTGGTGTCGAGAGTGCATGTTCGAATGGCTGCAATGCTTCTCAGCACAATTGGCGGCAGGCCAGCCACCACGGCAGCAATTGCCAGCCATTTCAGCGGGTGGAAGAAGTGTTTGAACATGGAAGCTGAGAGCAGCAATCCAGAGGCCAGTATGTATGGACTTGGCCATTTCTTGACGATTGCATCAGTTCCATATGCTCGAACGGTAGCTTCAAGCCTCGCCTGGTTCAATGCCTTAACTGATGAAGCCAAGAGAATAGAGTGTAAAGAAACTTTGATAGATCCTTCTGCAGCAGTTTGATTGAGGTCAGTGGTCCTAAAGGTAGCTTGATGAATGATGTATCAGATCATCATCTCTTGCATTTCAAACTTTGGAAGGTAGAAGTATAATTCACATGGAAAAGTTATTGTTATTGTTGTTGCAGACAGTAAGTAGACGTTTGTTCATGCACAACTAACAACACTTTCTCTGGTGCTCAGATATGCCTACTTACCGATCTGAAGCTGCGAGATAATGAGGCTGTCATGGATTACAATGACCATCTTCGATGGAACGATGACCGAAACTTTCTGAATCCCATCCAATGAGCTCAAGATGTTCTCGATCAGTGGGACTTCGGAGGGGCAGCATAGCCCCAGAACCTCAAAATAGCTCTTCTGATGTCTCACTTCTTTGCTTCTTTTGGGACTGCCATGTTCTTCCATTTCCAAGATCTTTCTTTTCACACCTTAAAACAATAAGACATGTTATGTAGACACTCACTCCAATTAAGATGCTATCAAGCTCCAATATCTGATGTTTGCAGTACTTACATCTACATTTCTGATGCTTACAGTGTGTTTAAGTGGAAAAAAAAAGAAAGCCAGAAGATAGAGGAAGAGGATGATGAACTGGTGCATGCAGAAGAATAACCAGTTTCTCATCTGCAGAACTCAAAGTGAAACATCGTGTGGCAGGAGGTAATATACTTGCACTAACTCAAGCAATTAGTTTCATCTACTTGTACTTTGCATAAAACATCATTGTTGTGTGCGTATATGCTTAGAGAGACAGAGAAAGTTCAGTGTAAGAAACAAAGTGGACATTACATATGAACTTAAACATCACATTTAGAAGAGGAGGCTTAATCTTCTTCTGAGGTTCCTAATGCAAGATTGTATGCACGTAGAGAGGATGCAGCCGCAGAAGAACCAATTCAAAAGATCTGAGAAATCTGAGGCTGCTAATGAAGAATTGGAGAGCAATGGAAATGCATTTTGTACCTAACGAATAAGGAGCAAAACCTCCTATTGCTTGTGCCAATGGGAAGAAGAGGATTGGGGTGATTTAAGAAGGCAATGCCTTGCCATAAGGTGGTGGGCAGGCAGGAAAAGGTAGCAAAATGGAGCATGATTTGGTTGATGACTTGGTGGGCACCATCAAACATTTCCTACTGTTGTTTTCTCTTGTGAGCCAAGGAGGATTCCATGTTCTTTATTCTTGCATGATGCCAAAGATAATAAGTTTGTTCTACGCTACCTTCGCATTGGCCTCCATGAGGCCATTGCTTGAGAACCAACACTCCGTTGGTATATACACGAAGATGATTTCTTCATGTATATATCTATATACATATATATACATATATAAAATTAATACGACAACAACATATCAATCAACAAAGATTGGCTCAAAATATTTTTGAACTTTTCATTACCGTATGGTACAATCCTAATATTAAGAGCATATCAAGAGAACAAATAAGAGACAATCCTAATATTAAGAGCATATCAAGAGAACAACGTAAACTCAAGTATAAGGCTATAAGAGTTCGAGAATGAAAGATAAATAAAAAGGTAAAACAATGGCATAATATATTAAGTTATTAACGAATGAAAAATTCTTCGTGACTGAAAAAGAGAATCAAAGTCTAATTAAAAGTTGAAACCTCTGAGTCAATGATATGGAAAGGGCATAACAAATTAACTATTACAAAGAGAATAATTCCTCGTGAATAATTCAAAACCGTTTTCACCTCTTTGTTCTTGCCAAGCTTTCTTTCCCATCTTGAAAACCGTTTTCACCTCTTTGCATGCCATGAGTTGCAACAGTCTTATGAATATATCTATTGAGATAAATTCTTTACATTCATATTGATGACAAAACATGATATAAATACATATATCCAAGAATTTTAAATTGTTTGAGAGTCTTCTTATAGGTAGAAATGCATGTAAAGGTTTCAGAGACAAGCCTTTGAGGTAGGATGATTGACGCAGCTCGGTTGTCGAATTTTGATAGGCTCATGTCTTTATTTTCTTTTTTACTTTTAATTTTTTTTAGTGGAGAAAATCATGCATGGGTTCTCTCAACATTGTATCCAAAACTGGCCTTATCTCATCCAATTCTGTCAAGCATTTGTTCATTCATTTCTGGAAGATGTTGGCAAAGAAAGGAATGTGACAAACATAACTTGCAGAATTCATGAAATCATGTTTCTAATTATGTTGTTCATGCTCTTCAAATTTGGCTCCACAATGGCACAGAAGTCACAAAGGAGAAGTGTCTTTTTCAGCTCAAATTTGAAAGCAGTTCTGAGTCCATTGGTTTTGTCATTCCACTTTAAACAAACATTCTCTCACCAATTTTTGTTCAAGAAAAAACTGTTTATATCTGCATATATTTTTCAGATATCTTATATAAACTTACAAAACATTAAAAAAAATATTTGCTGATAATTTTCGAAGACGACAACAATTAAGGATTTGAGATTTCATCCTATGAACTTTTCCAAGATTATAGGTAATTTACCTGATAAGATTTGGATTGTTATTTTTACATAGATATTGTGTATTTATCAGAGATAGATATTCTAAGAAAGAGAATTGTTGTGTTCAAAGTGAATTGGTTAGTGGAAAGGCTTGAAGGACACACCATGAAGGATAACATTAATAACAATGGATAGGAAAAGTGATTCTCCAAATCCGCTCTATGAAATGCACATTAAACAAAAAAAAGGCATAATTTATCTTGAAGTTGTTTTGAAATAACTAGATTAGTGCAGTACCACTAATGTGATATTTTTATGTGTGTGTGTGTGTGAGAGAGAGAGAGAGAGAGAGAGAGGATTTGATGTGATCCAATTCTTTCAAGGTATCCTAAAACAGATTGGGCAGCAGTGGGATGCACATATTGCCACTAGAATTCAGCAAATTATGGCATACATATATAGTTTAATGATACATAATGTGTTATGAATTATTTGTGAGTTAATTGCAGAAACATAGATTAAAGCATGGCATGGTAAGCACCCACAACAGGTTTTATCTATCTTCAAGCCTAAATTTCTCACAAAGGATTTCCTATCCACTGCAAATTGTAAGCTAAAATCTTAATAGTTTAGTTCCTGCTTTCCAAGAACATACATACATACATCTCATCCTTAATCAACACTCTCTTTCTTGTGAGATTGTCTAAGCCCCATGGAGTCAGATGATTCTGCCAACCAATAATGTTCTGCTATTGCTTGATCCATTCATGACTTTAGTTGATAAAGGAAGGGCCACTGCTGACACAACTAATGCTAGGGTTAGGTTTCTTTCTCATCTTAGCTTTTGTGGAATGCACTAGGAATTTAGCCTTTTCTATTATAAAGTTCCCTGAACTCCATGCAATTGTCTCCAACAGCAATTTTGTTTATTGAGAAGTCCTCCCTAAAAGGTTAATCTGAAGGATTAGTTGGCAAATAAAATAATGAAGGATAAACTTCAATTAAAATTATATCCATCATCCTGCAAAGAATGGCAACAAGAAGGCATAGTGGTGCACCAAAAGGCAACCATGGACTCCAAAGTGGAGCTTTCCACAAAAGAATAAACATGGTGTTCAGTGAAAGCTAATATTCTAGAGCACCAAAATGTCATTCTTAGTGGAACCAATTCCAAGAGAATACCTATTGGCTTGTGAGTGCATTGCATTGAGAGCATATACTAAGCTTGCAACATGTAAATAGATTTTGGTTCCATATTTTATTATGATTCTTGGTATCAGAGCATCATAAAATATATCAGAGCATCAGAAAATATGATAGGCATATGTTTGGTGGCCTCATATAGGTCAATATAAATGTGGAAGATTTAGCAGAGGATATATTCCTGTGAGGATTCACCACATTGTTAAAATATATATTAGATTCTTTTATCACCTTAAGTTTTTGAATTTATTAGCATCAAATCAAATCTTTATGATAGTATTAAGTAGATCCTAAGTTTGAATCATGTATTTATATTATTTTTCAGACTAATTACATATTATCTCTCGTAGTTCGTTATCTTTAGTATTTTGGTCCTTACACTTTAAAAAGTTACATCGGTATTTTTATAGTTACGAAGATGAAATATTTAACCTTATTTTTACTCAAACGATAGACTTATCGCACATGCTATCATAAATGACACTAAAAATAGGGATTAAAAATATAATTTTACTATTCTAAACGTTCAAAAATATTAGCTTTACATAAGGATAACTTCTGTGAAAGTTTTGTTATTCTTCCTTCGACTTCGTTATCCTCTCGGATGGTCTACCTAATGATCGGTTGTGATCCTCATCTCTTGTGCTGTCCCATTTTTCTTGTTTCACTATCCTCCTCGGACGATCTACCCAATGGCGGCATCGGTGGAGATGAGGGTCACTATTGACGTCACCATTGGGTAGGTCATTCGGGAGGATAACAAAGCAGGCGAAATGAGATGGTGTAAGAGATGAGGATCACTACCGACGTCGCTATTGGATAGGCCATCCGAGAGGATAGTAAAGCTTTCATAGAAGTTATCCTTCTGTAAAATTAATATCTTTTAGATGATGAGGAGGATAGCAAAATAACATTTTTATCCCTATTTTTAGCACCATCTGTACATGTGATAGCACGTGCGGTATCTTCCGTTAGTAGTAAAGCCGACAGTATAACGAGAAATAAGGTTAAATATTTTATTTTTATAATCATAGATCATTATAGGGATGCTAATATAATTTTTTAAAGTACAAGAATTGAGAAGCCAAATATAGCCAACTATAAGGGGTAATATATAATTAGTCCATATTTTTCGATGATTGATTAAAAATATTTTTAAAATCTATTTGCTTGCCATTCTTTCTTAATAGCTTGCGCTTTTCGAATTATCGATCACCGAATCAAGATACATAACTGTTTATAATAAACATTATCATGATGAAGCAAATTATAAAGCATCTATCAGGCAGATCATAAATCAAATCTGTGCAAAATCTTCAGCCTTTCATGAAGAAAAAGGTATTGGTTTCTGATGGACTGTTGCATCCTATTCTGAAATCATGATTCTATGGTGAAGTACGAGCAAAGCTTTGGAGGCCACCGATAGAGCCACATGCTGCATCCACCCCAATAATCTCCTTTACTTTTCAGCCTTCATGTCATCTTTGCCTTTGGATGGCTAATGGAGGGTGATGGACAGGGCAAAGATGGATTGAGAAAGCTCATCGATTCTGATGTGAGCATGGGACTGATGCGAGCTTTAAGAGTAGCTTTATTAATTGCATTTTTTCTGAATGATGGCCACTCATATCAATCACAGTCCTCATCCCTTTTTGCATGAGTCATCAAGGATGTCAGACAACCATGAACAGCACTCATTCTCATCATATGTTATGTTAACAGTTGTGACTTCTTTTTTGATTTTAGATGGCTTCATTTGTGGTTGTTGATGCTTATATAGGAACTGGATTCTGTGTCATCAGCTCCACTTGGGATTGGGGGTGGTCCTTGCAAAGCTGCTAATCCCCTGATGGCTGAAGCTGGGGAGCTACTGGAAGGGCTCAAGGCTGCTGAACACCTCCACCTATCTCACTTATAGATTGGATTGGAACAGACTCTTTGTCCATTTTTTGTGATTTTTTATATCTATCTGACAAACTTCATGTGGTGAAAGCTAATGTTGTATGCCACTGGTTATCTTCTTATGGCAGATATCTCACCTCATCCTTGTTGTACTCTGCAGAGGATCCATAGTTTTTCCTTTTTGTTCCTGATGATCTAACTTAATACAAAGTTTAAAGTTTTCAATTTGCTACAAAAAATATTCATTATATTATTATTATACCATATTGTGGAGTTGGATCAGCACTCATCACATAAACTATTATATCCTCAAATTCTGAA